AAAACCCAGAGAAATTACTTATTGAAATTAAAATCCTTTATAATGGAATTTATCAAATTAAATCAAACCAAACAAGCAGTACATTATTAACTCTTCAAAGGTCTTTAATTTATTCATTAGGTCGTGTTATTAGAGAGTCATGTATTAGATTTATTGAGAAGAGAAATCTTCATGAGATGACATTCCCTTATGACTCTAGATGTATTACAATTCAAGACTTTTGTACTTCTAATACTACAAAAGGACATTCTATTGGAGTGATGGATATGTTAGTTGATCGAGAGTTATCAAATCAATTAAATGTAGAAAAACTTTCTGAAGTGAAACCTGAAGAACCAAAAGAAGAAAAGAGACAAGCAAAAACTAAAAGTTCAAAAGTTGGTATAATTAATGTGTTTCAGCCTCAATCCACTCCAAGAATGACAGGAGAATTAAAAGCTACTGAAGAGATGATGAAACGCAAAATGGCAAAGACAACAAATGGAAGTTTCTTAGGTTCAAGTAAATAATATAGAATAATTGAAATCTCGTTTTATTGAAAGAAGAAATTAGAAAAAGAGTTTTTCTTTTGCCGAAAGAATAAATAAGAATCATAAAACGCTAGGAAAAACCTTAGCATCAGGATTTTCAAATATTGACATGGAGAGAAGTTGGTCTACACTCACACGATAACATGGTTGAGTAACAGTCATAAACAAGTACATTTGTTTAAGTTCTTCAAACCGAAACAGTTTTAGATGAGTTGAATCTTTCAAAAATAAAATCAAATAAAAAATAGTAAACAAGAATAAAACAAAAAAGAAAAATGTGGTAGTGTTGTTCTACTTATTGACTTTTTTAAGTTAGATGTATAAAATCTAGAGAAAGAGGAGAAAGATGATATAATGTTATATATGACAGAAAGGAAGAAAATGAAAGAATAAAAAAGCAAAAAACAAAAAACAAAAGGATTTAGTGGCAAATATTTATCAATTCAAAAAGGTTAATCAAAATAAGATATAAAAATTTTTTGAAATAGATAGCATAATAAGTTTATTTAGAGGAGAAGAATGAAAAGAAGAAAAGTAGAAAGGAAGGGAGTGAAAGAGGGGGGTTATTTTATAAAATACATAAACAGGAATTTTTATTTAGATACAAAGGGAGGGAGATAAAGAACGAAATTCGGAAGTAAAACAAACAAATTCTTTTTGTCGAAAGAATGTTCTGTGAGTGTAATTGGGAAAATTCTTTTTGTGGGTTTTAAAATACTACAACTTAAAATTCATAAAGAACATCTTAGGAGATTAGATGCAAACCGCATATAAAATTAATAGAAATTACCAAGTAAGTGAACAAGGAATAATGCTTGTTCTTTTAAATCAGTTTGCTGATATAGAATTAGAAAAAAAGAAAAAGAAAGCAACAAAAGCACTTCCATTTCTACAAATTCGAAGTATCAATTTTGGAAATGGTGATGTGTTTAATTTTAATCAATTTATTGAATGTCGTTGTAAAGAACTTATTCAAAGTGAAATTCGAAGAGGATTAAAAGAAGAAACAGCATCAAAAAGATATAATTGTTATTTAATTAATGAGTCAATTCATTTATTAATTGACTTACTAAATGAAAATAGAATTCAAACAAGTTCATCATTTTCAGCTGGTAAAAATGGTAGAATTAAAACAGAAACAATTGATACAATT